CCCTTTTAAAGACCTTCGGGAGCGCTGAGATCGATACTTTGAAGAACCCTTCTTGGGAATGGGTTTTATCCGGGAAGCCCTTCAGCAATCCGGTTTGTTCCTTAGGAGAGTCAAGCATTGTTGGTGGTATTCCTACACAAGTCCTTCGAGCTGATTATTTGGTGACGTAACTACCGTGTCATCACTATCTATAAGAATTTTACCAACCTGAAGTGCATACAATAGGCGAATCGATAGGAATGCACGATGAGTTTAAAAATGTCGAAGACCATCACCATGTGAAGACAACCGACCAAAATATTAATTCTCTTTAATTTTGACCGTCGTTAAATTCAGATTCACTGCAAATACCCCCTCCTGAAAACTTTGATTCGATTAGCTGTCGGGAAGATCACTTTCTATTCTATGAGTACTCTAATTTCCCAGTTACAAGCTGCAGGTTCTGTGAGTCTGAGTGTGCTTTGGACTGATCTATGTTTCCCAGTTGCATTTTTCAACAGCTTTTCTCCTATTCTATTGTTTGTTGTCAATTTCATCTCCCAAGTGCACCAACTCATCAGTTCACATTATCGATCATCCATTTTAGAGCATGTGCGGAGGATTGTTCCGTTTGGCTGCGAGAAAATGAACATCTGTTCCCGTCACCTGTGATGCGCCCCTTCGTGTCCGACAGTCAACGTCGTCGAATGTGAGCGATAACGTAGCTGCGATATGGTATTTTCTTGTGAAATAACGTAGTTGGTTAGTTTGTTTGTTTTTCTGTTACACTGTTCATTAGTTGGCATTTCGGAGGTGTTGTGTAATGTTGAGAAATATCTTCCTTGTCTATTTCAGTCAACTTCTGGAGAAAGCACTATCCACGGACGAACTGATCAATGATTTTGGTGGGTTGGGTTTACAACGGGCTCAAGGATTGTGGAAACGATTGTATTCTGGGCAAGTCCCTTTGACCCCGGTCACGGCAAACGCGCTGTTACTGGCTTTGGCAAAAGGTATACCCGACCACTTACCCATTAGGCGTGCTCGACGATTTTTCATTCATTTTTGAAAAATTTACAGACGGACCAATTCTGTATGCACACACGTTAAATCAAATGAGTTGCCCTGTTCGATTTGCCCAGACACCAGTTACCGTGGCAGGTTATACAGTGTTTTAGATCGAGTCTTCGAGAGTCTACCTGGACTCAACTCTTCCTCTTTCGTAGTTTTTTGTTGCTTCATTTCCATTCACTATGTGGAGGGAGCAATCCTACTTCACAAATATACTGAAGTTTTATAAAAATTATAGAAGTTTACAAAAGACGTCCTCAGCTTCATTCCATCTTTTTGTGGACAATGCACCTCCAGCTTTTTGCACAATTAAATGCAAACTTCAAGACATCAATGTAATGATCTATTCTGAGCGACAGCCCTCCGGGAGCTTTTACTTCATTTAACGGGTGTGCGTTCAACCTCCTGTTAGTTGGACAGAAATGCAGGGACTGAATGAACTCCAAAGAAGTGAAACCCACGCATTTGCAACAAGGGATAGATCTGCTGACCGTAACATAGCTTGAAATAAAACCATGTGAGATAGTTTGTAATCTAATCTTTACAATCTCGGTGGCAGCAAGAGTGCACATCCGTTACTAGATTAGATAGAGGTTTAGTTTAGTTTAGTTCAGTTTATACAATCATTACCACGCACTGTCGTGCGCCGGTTTTGGTTGTTGTCTTTCGGCCGCCCATTTGGATAAACAATAGGAGAAAGGAAAGGTTGAAAGTAGGATCAAAGGGAAAATTAAGAAGTTCAGTGGACTAATGTTGCAGAGAAATTGACAAGATGCAAGAACGCCACTGTTTGCGCCACTCAGCCATATCACTCAGTGTCTCTAACCATCGGTGACCATCATTCCGAGGTTCCCATCCAGGGAGCCCAAAGGGACTTAAGCGACCCACACTCCTGGTTAGGGTTTTCATACCCTCATACCAGGTCTTAGCTTCACCACCCTTGGCTTTTTTCCACTCACTACCTGCCTCGGCAAACATCGCTCGCCGTGGCAACCTATCTGGTGACACGCGTAACACATGCCCCAACCAACGTAATCTATGGAGGTCGATCACTTGCTCAAGTGGGCAACCACGAATGCATCAAACTCTACGCCTAACCTCAGCATTGCTCGTCCGGTTGCTCATCAATGAGTTCATTTGTTGATCAAATGACGACCACCGACACCAGATAAAAACGTAAGACATAGAAAATAGATTTCTTGAGTTCCTGCTGCTTCTGGGATCATTTCATCAATTAGCAAGCATGACTGCATGTTTCAACCCCTCAAAACAATGGTCTGCATCTGTCGTCTTTGCACAATCACCAAGGTGGGGGGGGGGTGGGATAAATCCTGGAGAATGGAGAAGTATTACACATTAGAGAATTCCAAAAAATGAAT